CAAATTTCTTCCGCTCTTCTCGGGTGCCCCTTTTTCTACAGCTCAGGACATGTTCTTTTCGGCCCCCGTCACACCTCGCACCAGCCATCCAACCAGCCGTTGCGGTAGCCCCACCAGTACTCACCTGAGTGACTACGAGCGTTACCCCATCATTGCCGACTCGCTAACCGGCCTACCGGCACCTTCGGCGCGCACGCCAAAGCTGTCGCGCAGCAGCCGCTCGTCTCCTGCCTTCACCGTTGGTCCGTCTCCATTGCCACTCAACCTCCCCTTCCCCCCCCCCCCCCTCTTTGTTCTGTTGACGAGACAGCGCGACTCATGTGCTTGTCTTGTTGCTTTGTGTACCACAGACATGTTGAACAAAGCTGCACGAATGGTGACCATGACCAAGCAGCTGCGAGCCGTCGAGCAAGCTCGCGCTGTGGATGCTCTGCCCACGGCCGCTCTCACCGAGTTGGCAAGAACGTTTTCTTGGACCCCGACCGACAACTCCTCTGGCGCCCTCCCGCCCGTTGTCCCTGCCATCATGCAAGGGCTGGTTGACTGCAAATTGTGGAATCGCTGTACCCCCGAGGCCCCACGTCACGCCTCTGACGATGAGCTGCAGCTGGTTCATACCGCGGAATATGTTCGTCATTACGGCTCGCTGTCCACACCCGCCCCGCAAGCCACCATCAACGGCTTTGCCGGCGATGACCGCGTTTACATTAGCTCCAATTACAGCGAAACGGCCGCTTCCACCCGCTGTGCCGCTGCCGCCGTTATCGACGCCACCCGTTTGGTTGCCGAGGGGCGTGCGAAGAATGCAGTCGTGCTGGCCCAGCCGGCTGGTCGGCTCGTGGGACAATCTGGCCCGCCTAGGGGTTTGGGTGTCTTCAATAACATTGCCATTGCCGCGCGTCACGCGCTGCAGACCCAGACAGCCCAGCGGATTGCCATCTTGGATTGGGGTCGTGAACGAGCCGCTCCATTGACGCAACTTTTTGCCTCAGATCCGCGGGTCGTGGTCGCCAGCATCTTCCGCCATGATCGGCGTGGTGTGGCTGACGCCACGGCTGCCACCACCTACACGGGTCTGACCAACAACATTGTTAACGTGCCCCTGCCACAGGATGTCCGTGTCTCAGATGCCGACTATCTCGCCGCGTTTCGCTCGGCTGTGGTCCCCATCCTCAGCGAGTTCGAACCCGACCTTGTCCTCGTCGCTGCCAGCTTTGATGCCGGACCGAGCCATCCTCTGCATCCTGGACCAGACGGTGTCCCTCTGCCGGATACGCACATCTTACACAATCCCTCATGGGAGTTTCGCATGGGCGCATCGTTTTGGTTTTGGAGGATACCCCGCCGACGACTCTCTCTGAAAGCATCGCCGGCTTGGAGGGTTGCCTGCATGCCCTGCTGGGCGATGATTTGTCTGCCTTGCCATATCCTGACGTGTCTCCAAATGAAGCGACAGTGGCGGTTCTGGAGCAGCTGTGGATGGTGCATCGGCGTGCCTACGGCACGCTAGAGACAACGGCGGCCTACCGTCACTTTTCCCCCCAAGAATACATGACCATGCAACGTCAGCGCGAGGATGAGGAGTTGGACGCCACGGTGGCACTGGCGTCACTTTCCATGATGGCTGTACCGGAGATGCCCAGTGAAGAGGCTGAGGAGGAAGCGCGGGCAGCGTCCTCAGACGTCACCAGCGGCTCGGATGGCCAATACATGGTGTGAGCTTGAATTCCGCCTGTTTCAACTTCTCGGCACGAATGTGCTGTGTGCTCTTCACCTCCATGTTTTCTTGTGTTCCGCGCTGGCTCGCGGTTGATGGAGTGTACCGATTTGATGCACTCCAAGCACTCTGGTGTGCTTTTGATTGTTTTTTTTTTTTCCCTTTTCAGTTCTTCCTGTGCGTTTGCGTCCAATTTCTGTTTCTTTTTTGTGTCTTCGCGCGTCTCTCGTGTGTGTGTGCGTGTGTTGTGTGTGTTTGCGCGTGTGTCTCTGAGTTGGACTCTTGTTTGTGGTTTGTTGCGTCACACGTTTGCGCTGTCGGCGGCCCTATTGGCCGTCCAGACTTTTGGCGCCATGCGCCGTTTCGTGTTGTCAACGACGCCCTTGACTTGAAAACTCTTCCAAAGCCAAAGCAAGGTTTGGTCTGACCGTGGTGGTCGTACGGCTGGATGCGTTCCACTTTCGGCCGGCCTTGTGCGTGAGCTGGTTGTGGCTCTGATTGGTGATTGGTTGCTTCTTTTCGGACCCGCACCAACTCCTTTTCTGTTGAAGATATCTGATCTGTTGTTCTGTGTGTGAGTTGGTTGGGACTATCAGTCCAGCTTGTGCTCTCCTTCTTTTTCTCGCTCTTTCTGTTCGGCGCGCTCTTCCTTTGCGCCTTGGCTTCGTATTTGTCGCCACTTCTTTCTTTGTCGTCTTTTGCCAGCTCCTTTCGTTGCAACACAGAGCTGATGTGTTCTTTCCCTTTTCTCCTCTGTTCCCTTTGGCCTTGTGCCAATCCGGCTTCACCTCGTGTCGGTAGGCATTGTTGTTTTGCGCCCATCCGCATGTGTGTCAATCTCAGACAGTCTCGAGGGGTTTGTTAGGCCATGCTGCCGTTTTTGTGCCCCCAAAGCCCGTTTATAACCAGAAAGTGTGTCTTTGTCAATTGACATCCGAGTCGGTCGAAAGCATCCAACCTCATCTCCACGTCAAAGC